GCGCGCGCGCGCGCGCGCGCGCGCGNGNGNGNGNGNGNGNGGNGNGGNGGNGGGNGGGGGGTCCAAGGGGAACAGCCCCTGCGCCCGCTCCAAGGCCGCTTGGCTCTGGTAAAGCTCCAGGACCTCGCGGGAGACGTAGGGCTCCAGCGCCAACTCCATCGAGACCTCAACAGGGGTGTTGACCTTAATGAAGGTCTGCGCGGCGGCGTTGTAGTGAAAGCGCAAGAGATGCACGGCGAGGGTCCCACCCAGGCGGGTGATATAGCTCCGCACCTTGGCCTCTTGGTAGAGGCAATTTTCCCGCAACTTGGGTGTCGTCCTCAGCGGGGAATTAGGCGAATCGGAGGGGGGCGGCTTGGAGGGTTCGCTTTGCCGGCGGGCGATCTCGTTATGGGCTTTTTGCTCTTCGGGGCTCATTCTTTGAAAGCAATTCTCGCAGGCGTAGAGGTTTCTCCCTCGTAACTGCGTGGGTGCAAAGGCCATTTTCACCCCCTCCGCGATACTCCGTTTTACGGGTATGGAAAGCAGCATGAACATCTCATCGCGTGGGACTTTATGCAGACAACTCAAACACTCCACCTCAGTGCGTGTGACTCCTTCAAAGCTTATTCGATTAGATTTCTTTATTTCCTCAGCGCTCCTGCCTTTATCAAATTCATCGGCAATGCCGTTTAAAAGGCAAAGAAGAAGTTCCTGCGCATCCTGCTGCTCATCTTGCTCGAATAAAGAAGATATTTTACAAATTTCCATAGAAACATTCCGCATGAGATGATACGCGCTTCCATTGCGAATATCAAGCGTCGTTTCCATGCTAAGATGACGTATCAAGATGTGCATCGCGGTGGTGAGGTTACCAGGACTCTGATAACTCTGCATATGTAAAAGGGGGCGGGTTAAAAACACACATCGCAGAACGCATTGCAGAACCGAATTAATATAGCAAAAATACCCAGGGTTGTTAAAGCCGCTAATTTTTGCTCGAACGAGGATCGACTCAAGCGCACCCTTCGAAAGTTTTAAGGTGTGGGCCTGATGTAAAGACCACCTAGTTTCATGGGAACGGTGGTTGTTCATTTCACTGTGGAAACTCGTCGGGCAGTCCAACATCTCAATTGGCTTTCGAACCCGCTGCATCTGCGCGATCGATACGTTTGATTTTCGATCAGACGCTGCAAATCCGATTGGCTTTCCGTACGGCATTGTCAACTGGCTGCGTGGTGTATGATGAGGAGAAGGAAAGACTAAACGAACTCGGTTATTACGTAAATAGGCTAATAACGCCATCAGCTGTGATAAACGACGCATCCCGCGATGGCTACGATTTCGGTTATCGTAAACGAGGTTAGAAAGCGAGGACGGCGTTTTTTGACACCGCAAACACAGCACTTGAAAGTTCCACGAGCTTGTCGAACGATAATAGAAATGCGGGGAAGGAAGCTCCAGGAGTGAGCTCATCACCCCTCCTTCTTCTTCGTTTAGGTTGCTCCTGCTGGATGTCGCCTTAACTCGCGGCATGGTGCCTATAAAACTGCCCTCTTCCGTTTGCGTGACTTCGATGAAGGGGGGTGGACCTCGATTGCTAACTAGAAAGTCATCATCGCCGGATCTCATGTCTCTTTTATTTTGCAAGCTAAAATAAAATGCTCGATCCAACTGAAATTTGACATTGGAATAAAATTCGTAGCTCGCTTTCGGATTCGCCCTCCCGTTCTCAAACTCATGAACAAAAACAGTTGGGGAGATGTTGAAAAAGTTAGAGGGATCCTTCGACGGGAGGCGGGAGCTCGCGCGCGCGCCTGTGGGTTGCGGGATTGCAATAAACGTGCAGTGATACGAATAGGGCAAATGCACGTGCTTCCTGTCTGCAGCCGATTCATTATTCTCCCCTATCACTTCAGATAAAGGCGAAGAAGACATGTCAAGCATATGCTGCTCGGCATGTCGTAAACAACAACAGGTCGCACAGGAAATACAGATAAAAGGGGCACTTTTATTTGATGGATTGTCTGAATTCATTTCATCCGCGGTGAAGGCTTGGGAAGGGACGAGATTACCTCTCTCGGCCGGACTCCCGACGTTTGTGCACTCGCCTGAGTGGAAAACATTCAAAGAATGTGAGGGATCATTCCCCACCACATATTTTTCCTTTTTTCTAAAACTGCGGGTAATAAACTTTATAAAACTAAACTTATTGGACTTACTCTTCGATTGCGAGATCGGCTTTCTGCCTTCAATAGAGTGAAAGTCTAATCCAGAGGGGACGGTGTTCAGGCTGGAGGTGTCTGAACTCCCCTTCTCAGACATCCATCGATCTGTCGAGGCAAGACAATACGCGCAGGAAATTTTCGACACTGCATCTCCTTCAAGAGTTTTCGAAGTTAACCACTTATCCGAATAAACTTTGGCGATCTCATTTAGGTTTATATTCTCCACACATTCACATATGAAGGTATCGGTCTTTTGAAATATCATCAAAAATGATTGACTGGGTTCTTTATTCACGTCTTAATCATAAATTTAGACCCTCAGATCGTTGAGTTTACCAGTCCTTTTTTTTGCTATCAGTCTCGTCTATAACCTCTAGCACGCGTATTTACCATGGTACAGAGATAGTGAAAAAAAGGCCTTTCGTTCTATCTGGAGGCTGTTACTATGTATGTTAAATATTGATAAGGTTAATATATATATAATATTCTTACAAATATAATCAACAAGATTAAAAGAAAAAGTGTATACAAGTCATAAAGCCATTTTTATTGTCTGAATTTATGGAGCAAAGAATATTCTTGGTTTCCTCTCTTATTAATGGTTTTAAAATCATGGAAATAAGACATCACAGAAGTATCCTATATAAAAATTAAAAACATAAAATTAATGATACGTAATAAAAGCAAAGCGCTTTATAGATTGTTTAATAATAGTTTATACCATTATTTATGTAGTATTGATACAAGGCTTCAATAGGTCAGTGCGACATAGTTTTCGCTTCCTGAGGTGTTCTCCTCCGACTCTATTCCATCGTCATTGCCAATAAAATTGTCATGAGAATATGAATCGATTCGCCAACAAGTGAATTCAACAAAACAACCAGCCTCAGCCCCATCGAGATGACAAAACGGAAGTAAAAAATCTAAGCAATTCGCGCGACTTAGGCGGTGGAATATCAGGCCAAAATAAACCTCACTCCAGGCATATTACTGCACCCCTTGTGGAGGAGCTCATTCAACCCCAAACGCTGCGTCCAACCGGTTTAGATCCCCAAATAATTAAAGCATAATAGCAAAAAGCGTCTTGTGAGGAAATAGTTTGAGGTATTCTGAAGGAAAATTGAATTATCCTAAAGATCGTCCTTCGCAAGCGAACTCCCAACGATTATGCGCGTGTGACCCTTCGAAACGTATACTAAGGCGGTAAAATAAAGAACCCGCTTCCCCATTCGAAAAAACGCGAGGAATAGTGAATCAAAAATAAAAAATAACGCGGTAAATACGCCACATATTCTTAGATACAGCGGCCACTCCAGCTAATGAACCACCGTCCCTTAGAAAAAGAAGCTGAACATCCTACCATAAAAATCTAAGAAATATTAATTGAAAAGTTCAATGAAAAATGTGAAAGATAGGATGAAGAAATGATTTACATTCGTAAAGTGCGCAATATATATATATATGCTTTGCATTTTATAAAGGAGGAAATTTAAGAAAAAACATTGTTTCCTTTTAAATGGAAAACAAATTGTGATGTAATATAAAAATAGCGATTGTATATCTAATGATTCTGATCAGAAAGAGACAACTAGATATTGGTATCCTCTGCCTCGATCGAAGCGGCGATCTGTGCGGGAAGAATCAACGATCGCGCGGCCCACACTTCCTCAGACGAAACATTCCCAGATGATTGCAGCATTTCAACGCACGTGCGGAGTAAATCCGAGGCCGAACGCCAAGGAAAAGTCCCCCCCTCGCCGCCGGGGGATGCCCCATTTTTTGGCTTTTCGTAATCCGCGCGCGGGCGAGATCGCTCGAAGGGCGAAGGAACCTCCGATTTTTCTCGCAATCGCAGCCTTTTCAGGCGCAGCACCCTGGCGGGTTGCGGGGCCTCCAGAGAGAGCGTCCGCGGCGAGGTTGGGAGGGGATCTTGACTGGACGAAAGTTGCGCTCGCAGGGCCTGCAATGCACAATAAAGGGAAATGCTCTCGTCCGGGCTCCCGCATTGCCCAGCCGCCTCGTGCAGCCATCCGCGCAGTGCATTCGAAGAGTCAAAAATGCTCGAAAAGACTTTTCGCTCTGCGGAATTGGCGCGACGAACGAAATCCGAGGCCCCGAGCACCTCCACGGCGAGGACGCGCTGAATCTGCGAAAAGTCTTTGCCAGCCGCCTGGTCCAGCACCGCAATGGAGGCCTCCAAACCCGCCAGTGAGGATTCGACTGAGGAGGAAAGCCGCATCGTCCGACTCGCCGCCCGCACACAACTCCCCAACGCCCGCATCACCGTCAGCATTTCGTCCCGAAGACGATCCGATCGAACGGCGCGGCGAATGCAATCTAGCACCTCCGCATCGCGCCAAGGATATAACAACCCGTGCGGTTCGCCGGAGCACAACGGCGAGCCGCGGCCCTCCAGGACGTTTCCCCCGCACCCCAGCCGGACCCCCTCCCGCACGAACTGTCGTAACAACGTCCGGTACGCCCCGCGAATGGGGGCCTCCGCCCACACCCGCAGCCCCCTCTCCGGCGCCTCGCCGCGGGGGCCCTCCCCGTCCAGGACCTCCGCCAGCTCCGCCCGGTCGAATTCGCTCGCGGGGCGGAAGGGGTGGCATTCCGCGGCCGCGCAGACCCCGGCGAGGTGGGCGACGACG